CCGCGGGGGAGGCTCGGGGCTGCCACGTTCCCCGGGCTGTGCCCCCTGACAGGGCCGGGGTGCCGGAGCGGGGCTCCCCGCGGCGGGCTGGCAGGGACGGGCGAGTTCACCGGGTCAGTGCGAGGGGACACGGTGCCGCCTGACAGGCCCCGCGGAGCCCCGGGGGAGCGCAGGGCCCGCCGGCCGCAGCCCCGCTCGGCCCGCAGGAGCCCCCGGGGAGCGCAAGGCCCGCCGGCCGCAGCCCCGCTCGGCCCGCAGGAGCCCCCGGGGAGCGCAGGGGGCCCCTCAGGGCGCGCCCCCCCCTCCCGAGGCGGCCTCGCCTCCCGGTTAGGCCGCGGGGCGCCTCGGGGCTGCGGCAGCCGCGGCGGGCGGGGGCTCCCGCGGGGCGGGCGGTCGGGCGGGTGTGGCGGGGCGCGGGGGGCCGGGCCGGGCCAGCAGGGCGGCCGTACCTGCGCTCCGGGCGGACGGTCCCTCACAGCCGCGGCGGCTCCTCAGCCCAACAACACAAGATGGCGGGTGCGCCGCCACGCAGCGTCACGTGAGCGCCGGGCCCCGCCCCCCGGCCCCGCCGCGGGACCCGGATGAGCGGCCGCGCTCCCCGCCCACCGCCCGCGTGACGTCACCCCGGGGCAAGCCTACAGCGCCCCCTGCCGGAGCATCGGGCCCCCCCCTCACGGCCCTGAGGGGACACGCGCGGACATGGCCAGGCCGGGGGTCCCCGCGCCCCCCGGCACCACTGCCCGGCTCCCCCCGGGCTGGCACTGCTGGGGCACCTCGAGGGCTGTGTCCAGGTCTGGGCCCCTCAGTTCGGCAGTGACACTGAGGGGCTGGAGCGTGTCCAGGGAAGGGAACGGAGCTGGGAAGGGTCTGGAGCAGCAGGAACGGCTGAGGGAGCTGGGGGGGCTCAGCCTGGAGAAAAGGAGGCTCAGGGGGGACCTACTCGCTCTCTGCAACTCCCTGACAGGAGGGGGGAGCCGGGGGGGGGTCGGGCTCTGCTCCCAGGGAACAAAGGATAGGACAACGGGAATTGGCCTCCAGCTGTGCCCAGGGAGGGTCAGGTTGGACATCAGGAGGAATTTCTTCCTGGAAAGGGTGGTCGGGCACTGGAAGGGGCTGCCCAGGGAGGTGGTGGAGTCCCCATCCCTGGAGGTGTCCAAGGAAGGACGGGACGTGGCACTCAGTGCTCTGGGCTGGGGGACAAGGTTGGGATGGGACACAGGGTGGACTCCACGGGCTGGGAGGACTTTTCCAGCCTGAATGACTCTGTGTGTCCGTGGCCCAGTGTGTCCGTGGCCCTGTCCCCTCCCGCCGCCGTCCCGCACACGCGGCCCCCTCAGGAGCGCGGTGTGGCCCCGGCCCCAGCCGGCCCCTCTGTGCGGGCTCCGCGGGGCCGTTCAGCTCTGTCGGGGCCCTGAGAGGCCACAGGAGCCGTGTGAGGAGCCGCCGTGATCCGAGCACTCCGTGCCCAGCCCCAGGCCCGGGCCGCTCCCCCCGGCCCCCCGCTCCCCCTCCCCGGGGGAGTCCTGCGGATGCGCTGCCGTGGGACTCACCCCGGGGAGCGGCTGCCGCTGACACAGAAAGGGCAGTGGATGGCACGTATTTTGACTCTTCCTGATGGAAAAATCAGGAGCTCGGGGCAAACTTTTTTTCAGCTAAAAATACCGGTTTATTTTTAGTCCCCAAACCCATATTAGTACATGATGCAGAATAGCCCCATGTGGTTCCTTCAGCCTAAAAAACTATTCTGGGCTGTTACGCACTGCTGAAGGTATAACCGCTCTCAGCTGAAACAGTTGCACTCCAACCCTCATGGCAGCCACAACCCGTGGAGCTTTCTCCCTCCTCTTCTAGGTGAATAAATACTTGTCATTGTGCACTGAGCGCCGGCCAAAAATGATGCAACAGTGAACACTGGTGATTCTTCTGAGCTAATGGGTTGAAAGCCTGTAATTCTTGGGGCTTATTTTTAGCTGAGAGCAACACAGAACTACCTCACCCAAAAATCTCAGAATGGAATTTCTCCTTTAGGAGGCTGGTATGGAAAAGCAAAGCTCCCTAGAAAAGGGCTGGCCTCTGACAAGCTGCATTCGATCCCCTTGGTTGTTGCTACACAGCTTGAGCCAATACTAATAGCGGTGGAGGGAGGGAGGCAGGCAGAGCTGCATTTCAAGCTGTCAGGATAAACTCCCAATTTCACTGCAGAAGCAGCTGTGCCTTGTTATTCTACTTATCAAATGTGAGCTTGAGCACTCAAAAATATTTTCACATGCTCTAAGACAACCTTTATCTGAGATGGGAGATGTTTAGCACTTGTGGAAATTTTTTTTATCCCAGTTAGCACAAACATTATATTACTGAGACAAAAAAAAAAATTCAAGAAGAGAGCGACTGAAACATGCCTCATCTGCAGAACTTGGCATTTCTGCAGAGTACCTCAAGGAAACTCAGATGACAATCTTTTGGTAATAGCAGATGCATCTTAAATCCTCCACAACACTCATTCAAGCAGAACAGGGAGAATCTCATAAAAATTCACAACTGTACCCGTGCAGTAAAATTCCTGCATGGCTCAATCACAGAACTTCAGCTGATATTGTGTAGGTGTGAAATCACCCCAGCAGCCAGCCTGGGTACCAAGGGCATGATGTACTTCAGAGCCCTGGATTACTGTGCCAATTCCTCCTCACTATGACAAATCCAAGAGCAGGGAAGCAGCATTCCTAACAAACTGAAACCTTCCTTATCATCCCACTGTTTTGTGCCCATCCTGGCTCAGAGGCAAGAGCCTGCCCCTCTCAGTACAGCGGTGGAGCTACGAACACATCACAGCTTGGAAATGAGAAATAATGGTCATAAAGCAGCCCAGAAAGATGTGCCCTAGTCACGTTTGCCCTTGCCTCCCAACCCCCCCTTTGTTATTTGGAAGAGGCACTCCCCCGTTTGTTGAAATTCCAGGGATTTTGTCTGGGAAGAGTCAATGTCGCCTCAGCAGCCTCTGTTTTCCATGTCCTCATTTGTCACATCCCTAAAAATAATGAAAACAGCAGCAAAGCAGGCAAACATCCAACTGCAGTTTTTAAAGTCAGTCACTTCAATGCATCTGTCACCTCAGGTGGCTTATGCTGAAAGACAGAATACCACAAACAAGCTGCTACTTCTGCAACACTCAATTACTCTTAGATATCCTTCCCACATGTGGCAAGCTTAGCTTGCAATGCAACAACTAAGTGCTCCAGTTACTCCAATCCATCTTGCAAGGGATTTATTTGGATGCTCCCATGAGGCTAAAATGTTATTTGGTCACCTTAAATCCTCACAGATAAACCCTGAACCCTGACCCAGGAAGAGCCTGATCATGCTGTTTCCCTTTCTCTCCACTGTGTTCACACTGAGGTCTTTGGGTGAGACTTCTGGCCACCCCAGGCTGTCCCCTGCAGCCAGTGGCCATGGCAGTGACAGGAGCAGCCCGGAGAGATCTGCTGTGATCGGAGCATCCAGACAGGCTGAACCCACCCTCCGTGGGGGCTCCTCCACTCTACTTCTACTCTGGGAAACATTAAACAAAACCCCTCAGGGACCAAGGACTACCTGGAGTTCCCACTCTAGGAGATGATGGACTTGAGGCAAGTCTTTGTCCCTTCTCAGAGAGACCCATAAGCGCAACAGACTTTTCCCCAAACTCCTCTACTTGCCATCACAGACTCAAGATCCACTTGGGGCACGTCAGGAGCTCCAGACAGGTATTAATGTACCACTAAAGAGAACTGGGATTGCCAGGACCTTTGAGAGCCACCTATGGTGACACGAGGCATAAAAGGACAGAGCATCAAGGATTGTAATATATTAATTATAGGTAAATACAATTAAGTATTGTCACATGGTATTAGGTGGGAGATACAGCTAGACAATTTCTTTCTAGTACTTCTGCCTAACCTAATGACACTGTTATCCAATTCAATAGTTGCCAGCAAACCAGAGCAATTTAGAAAGCAATTCATTTCCCAATGTCAGTTTTTTGCAAAGCTAATTTCAAAATGCACATTGCTGCAACTCCAAAATAAATGTACATCCAAAAGTGCTTACTGTCCACTGCACCAAATTACTGCCCCAGGTAACAGCACCTATTTGAACAAAAACTAACCACAATGCTCGTTTCCTTATTGAAACTTGTCAGCTGAAGCTGACTCAATTCTATTAAAGCAAAACCACTGGAAGGCCTTCTTCCACCTCCTTCTCCCACAGCCCCAGGCTGCCCACCCAGCTGCACGTGCAAAGCAGCACGAGTCAGCAGTGCCCGCTCCGCTGGGGAGAAAAACGAGGAAAAGGGAAAATCAAGAGCTGCAGTACTGCAATTTTCCCGTGGCAATAGGGACTAAGGAACCTTCACCCCGATCTCACCTGACCTCGGGACCCGAGGACTCCCCCCAGCAGAGCAGAGCTGCACGGGCTGAAACGATTGTGTCCTTCCTTTTCCCCACCGCACCTGAAATCGGGCGTGGTTAAACCTCCTGCTGAGCCCCCGCCCAGCCCGGCTGTGCCAGCAGAGCTCAGCACATCAGCAACAGGACGAACAAGATGCTTGGACACATTTTCAGATGTCCCTGTATTTTCTTTCTTTTCTTCTTCCCTTCACTAAAGGCAGAGAGAGGAAATGCAAAGGGAAATGCAGCCGAAGCAACCTGTGCAGGTCCCAGCTGGGGCAGCACCGGGGCTGAGACACAGCCTATTTTAAGATAAGGAAAAGCTGACAACCTTCAGATGTCAACACCGAGCAGTGGGCACTATTTCAAATATTTACACAGCCATGGCCCTCTCTAAGGAATTGCAAACATTAGGGCTTTCTACACCAGAACTGCTGAGCACAAGGGGAAGTGCTACCAAGAAGGGGCTGAACACTCCCCCCACACATCCGAGTCAGGATGTCGAGCTTTGAGGATCACTACTGTAATTTGTGAATAAATTAGTACATTCAGGGACCTGAAATAAACCACAGCCAAGACTGGAGATAACAATGCTTTATTTGTACATTTCAGCAAAAGGAGGAATAATTGAAGACGAAATTATCTGCTTTGTTGTAAAGTATAAAAACATTTAATTATAAATATTTACCTAAAAAGCGTGATTTATAAAATATAATCTGTGAAGATATATACACAGTTTAATTCTTTAGCAATTCTTTCACCTGACATTAAAGAGTAGAGGTTTTTCTATTTATTATTCCACGCTCACAGTTTAGTGCTCACAGTTTAAGAAGCAAAACAGACAAGTGAAAAGACGACTGGTGAGTTTCATTCTGGAAAGAAAAAATAAAAATGCATGAACTGGGGCAAGAGCAGAGGCAGAATTTGAGCAAATCCATGTCTCGAGAGCAGTCTCTGAGGGAACACAGCTGCCCTGCCATGACCTACAGTGCATATACCCAGACAAGCAGTGGGCATCTTGATATTTGCGGGCAAGTTCCCCGTGTCTGCAAAAGCAGATGGCCAATAGTGTTGTGCAAGCCCTCAGAACTCAGCTCAGCTCCACGTGCTCCCCTCACTGCTCTCTGAGCAGGGGTTGCTCAGGATGCTGTGCTGGTGTCCTATGTCACGGCTCTAAGGAAATCAAACAATGTCACCTTCATGATTAACGCTATGAGCAAAATTCCAAATAGAAAACGCCAGTGTGCCATCCAATTGCATTGTCCAGCTGGCAACACCCCTTAAAAACAGATAGAGCTGCCTAAGGCTGGAAAATACAGTGAAGCCATACAGTACACTACATGTGATGGAATGTGAAAGAAGAGAAATGGTCAGGCAACTCAGTTTTCTATTCCTCGTTGCAGAGAGCCAGCTTCCTCCCTTCGAAGTCTTGGGAAACCTCGTCTCTTACTGAAGGGTTGGTTACTATGGCACTTCTGAGAAGAAAAACTGGAAGACTCTCCAACGTGCTGGGTGGCAGAAAATGCTACAGGAAATGCTAGTGAGTTTGATCCACGTCCCTAGTAACTACCTTTCTCTCTTCACAGTGTTTTCACAGTGCCTGTGGCACAGGGCTTTGAGGAAGAAGAAAAGGGTGACAACACCCAACAGCAGTACAAACGTACAGGGAGACAAGCTGTACTTTGTACACCCTGATTTACACAAGACCTCACTACTTGCCTGTAAGCAAGGAATGAATTAATACAGGATTAAGAGCCAAAGGATGTATAGGGAAGAATGAAGCAGGCAAACATGACGCTTGTCAGTGCTCACCCATGATTTGCTATCTGCTGGTTTTGCTCCAGGGTGATGAGCTCCTGGCAGCTCAGAGCAAACAGCACATACAGCTCCTGCTATTCACAGCATTATGAATGCATAGTAACTGCAAGAGTTGTGCCCTTGGAAACTCAGGAGGATCTTCAGGAGAGGAAGGCTAGTGAAGCTGTGGTGAGTTTTAGGCAGGATCCAAGCAGTTCTCTCCAGGTAGAGCCCTGATGTGGGGAACGTACCAAGTCCTGTGCAATCTCAGAGTGCATATGGGCTGGTTGGTTACTGGGTAAATGCAGATTTTAACTCCCTGAAAGCTGCTCGGCGGTGCTTCCTTTCCTCCTCTTCCCGCTTCCGCTCGTCCTGCTCGGCTTTTATCTCTGCTTCAAACTTACTGGCTGAGGAGAGGGCTTGGGCCTTTGTGAGGGAAAGAGAAAATGAACGAGTGTCAAGCCTTGCATCAGAGGGAGAGCCAGAGCCTGAGCTACGCCCAGATGAGCAACACAGAAGCGTGTGCTGCACCTCCCAGGGCTTGCTGGGACGCCCTGTCAGGATGGGTCACGTATGAATTATGCCGTAGTGCTTGGGTATTTACACCCAATACCTGTGAGCTTGCTTGGCTTTAAAAATCAACAAAAGAAAGGTCATTTACTAATAGTCACTAAGCAGTGACCAACACAATACCCTCAGCACTGGGTCATGTACATGATTTCTGTAAGCAGGCAGAAGAGCACAGGTTGTGTGTATACAGAGGGAGAAACTACTGCAGAAAACAGCTCTGAATCACAGCCAAATCTGAGAACATCATACTACACCATGGATAATCTGCAGATCAAAGAGACATTGTTTACTTGCTGGCTATTTTTCCAGCTTTCATCTCAGTACATCTGCTGTGCAATAGCTGTGTTATGCTCCTGGGAAAAAACTTCTTATATAAACAAGCAGGATTATTTTCTCTCCAAGAGAGCTTTCAAAAAGGGTGCTTTGTCAGCTTCAAATGGTGCAAAGCTCTTTCTGCCAACCCCAGGACCCTGCAGAATAATTTTGATTCCAAAGGTTACAGAGAGCTGCTCGAGAAAGAGATGTCTGAAATCCTATACTCCAAAACACTCCATTCACCACCGAACTCGGAGTGTTCTGCTTGAGGGAGGTTTTGAAAAATGGGAAACTCTATTACATTAGATTTCAGGACACTTTTGTCTTTAAAAGCAGTCAGCCAGCCAGTCCCTCAGAGCTCCCAGGGACACAGGTTGGCCAGTCAGCTCCACCAGGGTAATACCCAGAGCACAGGCACTGCATTACACTGTCCTAGTGTTGACTGATCCACAGAAAAGGCTGTAGCCAGAGCCCAACAAAATAGGGAAGGGAAAAGCTATGGCTGAGTTTTTTCCTGTTCCTCTGTGCCACACCATACCTTAGCTTCAAAGAAGTTCTTGGCTCCTTTGACTCCCTCAATGGATACATCTATCTCCGAGAGCTTCGCAAGAGTCAAGAGGCCGCTGTCCTCCTCGAGCTCCCCAGCTGCAGCTTTATGGAAAATCAGCAGGAACTAGCAAGAGAGAGAGGAAACATTCCAGTTTTTCACTGAGGCTCAGACAACTTAAAATACCAACAGCACAGGCACCTGCAGGGGGCTGGAATTCACATTTCTGAGCAAAGGAAACCAGGTCTATATAAACCAAGTGGCACCATGGAACTTGTGCTCCTGTGCACAGCCCTGTTACAGACTAAAAGCAGCAGGAATCTCACAGGAAATGAAGGTTTCCTGGGAATCAGAGCCCTGGTAAAGCACAGTTACTACCAAGCCTAGGCTGCTATGTGGCCAGAGGAAGGAGGGCACCTCTGCCCAATACAACCATAGGGTGGGCTCAGACATAGCTCTTTATGTCCCCACACTCTAATGGTGTATTCACAAGCGCCCCACCAGCTTCCCCAGCATTCTGGGGGCTCAGATCACATCCCATGACAATGAAAGCAGGGCAAAGACATCCCTGGTTCACCCCAGGCTCCCTGAACAGAGGCACCAGTGCACTCCTGTCAGAGACAACAGCAGCCCAAGTGCGTGTGTGCCCTTGTGACAGAAGGGCCTGAACAAGTGTCCACAGAGCAACTTGGTGTGAAACCTCTGTCCCACACTGGACCACAGACATTTAACAAATCCAGAGTGACCACAGCAGAGTGTATATTGGGAAGTGAATTGCAAAAGGAACAAAAAAAAAAGAGTTTTATTTCACTGCATAAAAACACTCTTTTGGTCTGTGTTTTTACAGAAGGAACAAAACGTTCCTGCTTAAAAACAAAGACCTCTGCACCACCTTCCAGCTGCCAACTGAACCCCAGGTTAAGGTGTGGAAGCTCTGTGTGTACCTGGAGAGGTCCTATAACTCCCTGCTATTCTTGGCCACCCCAGGAGGTGTCTCAGTGCTCGGAACAGCACAGAGAGAACAGAGACAAGGACAAGCACCCGGGTACAAAAGGAGGACAAGTAACAAAGCTGCGCCACTTCAGCCCAGGCCAGACGGCTGCAGGCACCAGGCAGGCTTGCCCTGAAATCCATTTGCACAGAAACATCAAACACCTCTAGCGCTGCGCTTCTCGAACTGCCAGGCTGAGGACTGCGCTGCTCCCCGCGGAGAGCCAGAGATGTCCCGGAGAGGGCAGCAGAGTCCCGGCCACCGAGCCAGCCCTAAGGCACTCCCTGCTTCAGCTGCTCGCAGGAGCTGCTGGGGATGCGAGAGTTTGGTAAGGGCTCCCCTGGGGAAGGGTGGGGGGATGACAGCAGCGCTGGCCCTCTCGAAGAGGCAGCGTCACCAGGCATTGCTTCACAGACGGCCTCGTAACCCGTGAGTGCTCAGCGCGGGGCAGCCAGAGCAGCTGGGCTTGGAGGGACCTTTTACTCCTCCAAACACATTGTAGTGGGCTGACCCTGGCTGGGTGGGACCCAGGCACCCACCAAAGCTTCTCTATCGCTCCTCATCCGGACAGGGGAGAGAAAATGTAACAAAGGTTCATGAGTTCAGATAAGGATCAGGAGAGATCACTCACCAAAATTCTGTCATGGCCAAAACAGACTTAACTTAGGGATATTAACTGAATTTATTACTAAGAAAATCAGAGAAGGATAATGAGAAGAAAAATCTTAAAAACACCTTTCCCCTGCCCCTCCCTCCTTCCCAAGTTCTACTCCCTGTCACCACCAGCGGCACAGGGAGATGGGAATGGGGGTTACGGTCAGTTCATCACAGGTTGTTTCTGTCCCTGCTCAGGGAGAGGAGTTGGAGTCCCACACAGGCTCTTCTCCCCTTGGGTCCACAGGTCCCTGCCAGGACCCTGCTCCAGCACAGGCTTCCCATGGGCTCACATCCCCCTTTCAGGCATCCCCCACAGCCCTCCATGGGCTGCAGGGGCACAGCTGCCTCCCCACATAATCTCAGGGCCTGGAGCACCTCCTGCCCCTGCTTCTGCACTGCTCTGGGGGTCTGCAGAGCTGTTCCTCTCCCATATTCTCACTCTGCTCTTTCCTGGACCCAATTACACCTGTCCAATAACTTCTTTTCCTTCTTAAATATGTTATCACAGAGTGGCTCCCACCATGTCTGCTGGGCTCGGCCTTGGCCAGCAGTGGGTCTGTCCTGGAGCCACTGGAATTGGCTCTGCCAGACATGGGAGAAGCTTCTGGCAGCTGCTCACAGAAGGCACCCCTGGAGCCCCCCTGCTCCCAAAACCTGGCCACAGAAACCCAACACACACATATGTAAGAAACTAAATGGTGCTCTGCTGAACGGGCAAAACATCCTGCTTGGAAAATACCCAAATCCTCCCCAAGACGTCCTCGCCCTCTGCCCAGATCTGCCGGGCTCTGGTGAGTTCCCCTTCACCACCACTGGGCACGGTGACACAGAGGGCTGGCAGCTCGGCTGGAATTAGTCATGGTTCCTCCTCACAGTTTCTGCTCCACCCTGCAAGTCCCACTTCCTGGCATTGGAAAAGAGCAGTGGAGGCAGCACAATCCTGAGGTCTGGTACAGCTGTCACCTGGGGAGGGACTGGGTCATGAGTACAAGTAAGCATGAATCACCCTGAAACTAAGGGATGGGGCAGCAACCCTCTAGATACGGGCTGCCATGGCCCTGAAGGGGGGGCTGAGTTAAAGGAAACCTGGGACTGAGTCACCAGCTGGGGTGGACACAGCACAGGGTCAGTCCCAAGGACCCCGCAGGGTGGGCCATGGGGCATCATGCTGGTTTCCACAGGAGCTCAGCAGCAATCCCTCCTCATGCCAGCACACAGCCTGCAGCTCACCTCACCAGCTACCTACCCTCAAGGCATTGCTTCTCACTAATTAGAGAACACCACCAATCTGCATTCAACTCCCACTCCCAGCCTGTCTCACCCCCTTGCTGGGCCCAGGACACTCCATGTGCAGCAAAGCCTCAGGGAAGTGTCAACAGAGAAGCAAAAGTGAGTAACACTGGCACCTTTTAAAGCTGTGCTCTCAAAGAGGACAACACGACCCACACCTTCCAACCCACTAACCTCACGAGTTGTATCTGCTTCCACATCCTTCATGAGCCAAGACCTCCCCCACCCAGTGCCAGGCTGGCCACTGTGCAGGGGAAGGTTTGATGGGCAGCAGCAACCCTGCAATAACAGCTTGCCAGAAAAGCAGCTGTGGTTTGCACCAACTCTGGGAGCAAACACGTGATGTGGGTCAGCATTTCAGCGGGTGTGGGGGACAGAGGGTGGATTTCTGAGGGTTCTAGATAGCAGCTACAATTAGGCATTACTATTACAGCAATTAACTCTGGTTTCCTGTGGTAGTGACAGGACTAGAGAGACAGGTGTGGGCTTTTTCTCCCCACTATACCTAACCTTTTAAGCCTAAATTTCTTGCTTGAGTCACAGAGGGAGTCTTGTGCACTTAACTGTTGATGTATTGATGGATGCTCAAAGGTCAGGAGTAGGAGGCAGCTTTGCTAAGCAGGGCCAGTGGCTCAGCAGCAGCAAGTCAGAGCCACACAAGCCTCCCTGCCAGGCAACAGCTTATCTGGGATTGGAGGACACTGCTCAAAGCAGCAGAAAAAAGTGACCTATTGCAAGTGAAAGAGGTCCCGGCCAATTCCCTGGCAGGCCAAAAGAAGAGTGTCTTGTTAAGATTCGATATTCTCTGGAGGCAGCCAGGAGCCCCCCAGTGCCCGAGTTCCACCCTGCTCCGTTCAGACACTCATTTAAACCAGGTTTCTCCTCGTGTTGTCTGAGTGCCCCAACTCAGCTTAGTCACCCTCCACATGCTTGCTCATCACCAGCAACGAAAAGCAGAGCAGGACAGGCCTATGGGACGGTTCAGGCCTCCTCCTCCATCAGGAAATCTGTCTCTCTGCCAGCCCTCCGCCCAAACAGACCAGAGAGACAGGGCACATCTGCAAAAAGGCAAGAAGCATCCTGCTCCTCTCTGCCACAGGAAGCTTTGGGTATGTGCCAAAGCTGCTGTGTAATTTGTCCCCAGAGCTCTGCCAGGGATGCTCCTCATTCCAACCCACGGGCTACTCAAGCATTTGCTTGACTGGCTTTGCATCTGGCAAGAAGCTCCACAGCACCAGCTGCCATGTGCCTGTGCCAGGAGCTGGCAGCACAGGCAGCCCTGCCTGTGCCAGGGGCCAGGCAGGGGCTGTGCTCCAAACAGGTGGCAGCAGAAGAGGAGCTGCTCTGCCACTCGTGCTGCACCACTGGTGCCAGGACATCACGGCATCTTTCAGAGCCCTGAGGATAAAGGCATTTCTCTCCCACAGGAGAGAACCCCTGCAGCAAGCCTGGAGGCTGTCCCCAGCTCTTCACCCAGGGTGAAGGGTGGCCCAGGAGGCACCTAGAGACAAGGGGCTCCTCAGCCCACACAGTGATTTGGCAATCAGTGACCTGGGGCCACGGCATGGTGCTCTTCCTGCTCCACTGGATTCTTTGCTACCCCCAGTTCACCTCTGACCGGGCACGTCTCCTTCCCTGCACAGAGCTCAGTGACAGGCTCTCAATCCCCAGATTTCCATGTCTTTCCCTTTTTCTGTAAGAGCTGGTCTCCATAACACAATCTTTGGCCTCTGTCCTCTCCTGCTGCCCTCTTGCAGTGAAAGAAATGCAACAAAACCCTTGGGACATGAAAGCAGGACACAGCACAGGGTCAGTCCCAAGGACCCTGCATGCTGGACCATGGGGCATCACACTGGTGAAAAGGGGGGAGATGGTTTGATGTACCAGCACAGAGAGATGGTGCAGCAGCTCTGTGGAGCTGCCAATCATCCCTCATGCCCCAACCAGCCCAGCTGGTCATGGGCCCCGGCCCCCCTCCCAGGCACTGCCAAAGCTCTTGGCACTTCCACAGCAAAAACTCAATGTCCTGAGCTGTGCAGAGCTCTGCACCTCATCTCCACCAGCAAACCCCCACCCCAACCCAGAGGTGGCTCGGTGAGAGCACAGCCCCTGCAGAAACAGGGGAGCCCAGCTGCTCAGGGCCCACACAGCCCTCCCGTGGGGCAGGAGGCAGGACAGCAGCACAGCCCTCACACCCAGGGCAGACTGGCCCTGCTGCTGCCTAAGGGGCTGTGGGTTAATTCAGAAAGCCACAGTGTGACATTCACTTCTGACTGAGCCAGAACTCAGTGTCTGGGAGGAGGAAATGATCACACAGGAGGTTTTGCTATCTGGGTTCCCCCTTCCTGCTGAGATGATTATGGTACCCCTGAGTGCACGCACATAACTGCTCAAATCCCCTCTCTTCCTCTGCCTGGCACAGGATCCTGGCCTGCCCACACTGCTCCCAGCTGTCTCAGCACAGTGGTGACAGACAGGCCTGTTCAGGTGTGTCCCTGCTGAGCCAGAGTGCAGCACCAAACTGCTGCACCCCCACGTTCACTCCTCGCTGCAGGGAGGGGACCAGCCCTTGCAGAGCCTGTCATGGGTGGTCACTGTGTGATGCAGAGAGGGACCCAGAAACTGGAGCAGATCCTCTCATAGCCCTGAGACCAGCTGCCCTGCACCCGAAATGAGGCCTGAGCCGCTGTGCCACAGGAGCCCATCAATGACACCTTGGGACTGAAGGGACACACCCCCTCCAGCTATAGCAGGGAGCTCTGTGAGCACTCCTGCGCAGCTGCAACAGGGCTCAAATGTGCTCCCAAAGCCAGCAGGGAGGTTGGAGAGCTTTGGCATCAGGTCTTAGTACTGTCACGTGGAGATGGAGGTTGACAACGTACTCCTGGCATGGGAAAGCTCACCAGCTTCTCCACTGCACCCCACAGCTGGAAAAACAGAGGGGAGAGGGCTCCCTACAAGCCAGAGCACTGGGCCTGGCTGCCTCCTCCCCCTGCCCCACAGCCACCTCCCTGGCTCCTCACCTCACGGAAACTGAGCTTCCCATCAAAGTCTTCATCCACCTCCTTGATCATGTTCTTCAGCCCCAGGTGGGTCTGTGGCGCTCCCAGCTTTTCCATCATCAGCTTCAGCTCCATCAGGTCGATGTATCCATCCCGTCCTGAGTCATACCTGCGGGGTGCAAAGGCGAGCGGGTCAGTCATCATCATCCCCACGTCCATCTTCCCAGAAGAGGAACCGTGCAAATGGATAAAGTCCCTGTGTGGTTCAAAGCTCGGGAGAGAGGGGAAGCTGACACAGTCAGTGCTGAGATATATTAAGCTCAGGGAAGTAGCTGGAAGCTTTCAGAGCTGTCTCACCAGAGGAAGAAGTGCACAGGGGAGCTCAGACCAAACCGCCCACGCAGAAGGAACCTGGAGGACCTCAGCTTATCTCAGTGGGATTTCCATTTCACCCACTTGCCTGTCCAGCACAAAGGTTATTTGCACGCAGCTTACACCATGCACCAGTGTGATGAGGCAAAGGCATGGCAGAGCCAGGCCTCCTGCTCATTTCAAGGAGAAACAGGGAGCAGAGACCAACCAGAACCTCTCCTCAGAAAGCAATCTTTCTCTGTAAGCCAAACACACTCCCTCTAGCTGTTAAGATCTTTTCTCTCCAGAACACTTTGGTACTACAGAAGCACCTTGCTTCATGGCAGCTGTTTATTCTGTGTACCCAGGCAGAGCAGAAAGGCAGTCCCAGGGCAGCACAGCAAACCCAGCCAGCGCCAGGGCTGCACCACAGGAAACCAGTGCCCACCTCCGGGAACAAGACTGGAGCAGGACCACACTCCCAATGCAGAACAAGGGAGTACAAGGACTCTTTGCAGGAGGTGGAAGCAAGGGGAGGGGTGCTTTAGGGACGGGGAGGCAACGAGTGACCTGCTGTGCACAGCCTGGGACCGTGCACCAATTCCTCCCAACATGTGCTGTGGGTGTGGGTACAGCATCCGGCCCACCCAGCAGCCACACTTCACACCCCCAGGGCCATGGCTGGCTGTCAGAGTCCAAAGGCTGCAGGGATGGGCCCTCTGCTATCACACAGCCCCTCAACAGCCCTCTCGTCCTGATCCTGCCCTCAGCACACAGCTGGAGGCCCACATGAGAGGGTAGGGCAGGGTCTGCCAAGCTGGCTCAGCCCTGGCACACAGCCTGCCACTGCCCCCGGCCACCACCTCAGCCCTGACAGCCTTAGATCCTTTCAACCAGGCAGTAAGGAAGCCCCAGGCATGGCTCTAAAGCTTTCCAGCAGGCAGCAGCCGGTCAAGTCTTCCCACCCCTGATCTTTCATTGACTGTTAGCTCCCTTCCAAAGAGATGAGGGCTGCAGCCATCCCAGACAGAGATGTGCACAGTTGTGGTTTCCCTGGAAGAAAGCCCTTTCCAGCGGAGAAGCCTCCCAGCCGCAGAGGAAGCTGTGGCAAAGACAGGCCCAACAAACTGCTGGCAGGCGTGGGCAGCAGGCAGGGCTCAGCCAAGAGCTCTGCCCCTGCCTTCAGTTCCCCAAACTAGGGCATCCACAACTCTGCAGAGCCCCACCACCTCCACAACCAGTTTTGATACTCTCTGTGCCTCTTTGTTTCCAAGGGTCCCAGGACCAGGAGATCCCAAATGACAGGGACATCACCCCCAGACCAGGCTGGCACACAGCTCCTGCTGCCAACCAGCCTGCACTCTCTGCACCCAGCAAACCCAGGTACCCACTAGACTGGACAGCTTTCTGAAAAACTAGGCAAGAAACCAGGCCACAGACCCGAGACATCACGGGGAGGAAACACAGCGGGTTTTTCACACAAGGAAGGTGTCAGCTAATTAAGGCACCCGATCACAGCATTACCCAGCCCAGCACTGAGATGCACTTCCAGGACATCACAGAAGCATAATAAGTGCAATATCTAATGGTCAATTTGCTTTTCTGTTTGAGAGAACAGGTGTGGGGCCCTTCCTCCGGTGTAAGGTGTTTGGGGATGCAGCACCTTGGATCAGACACAGCAGCAAAGTGTCTAATGGCAGGGAGGCACTTGGGGTTGGGTTTCTGGGGGCCCAGCAAGCTCATGCTGCCCTTTGGCTGGGTGCAGAAGCAAAATAACAGCAAGGTCTCCTCCAAGGGCTGTCCATGTGGGGTTGGGACACTGCCTGGCCTCACAGAGAAGCTTTGGATTACGAAGGTGAAGGCAGGAGGGCACAAGCCCAGCCCGTGCCCACTGTGCTCATCTCACCCTCCTGTTACATACACGACCTGCAGGCAAACAGTGGCCCAGGGGCTGCCGCCCTGAAAGGGTTAAGCATGGGGCACAGCTTCAGGGCTCGTCATCCCTGCAGAGAGGCAGCACAAAGCCAGGATTGTGAGAAATGGGGTCTTGCCAGCAGCAGGCCGTGGCAGAGCAGCACACTGTACCAGCCACACAATGGGTGTTGAGCAGGCTGGGCTGGAGTACAGCTGGCGCCGAGATGCTCCCAAAAATCAGGTTACCAGTCCCCTGCACTCGGGGACAGGCACACAGAGGGACACTGAAACCCAACGGCAGCACCCTGCAAACTGCTGCATTCCCTCCCCACCCCCCTCGCCTCCTAAAACAGCCCAAGTATTTTAGGACCTGGGTACAGCCACTCGGCTGCTGCACAGCCAGACTATTTAGGGAGAGGCATATTTATAGGGCATGAGACGAGCAGTTCATTCCCCACAGCAGCCACAGGCATTTGACACAATGGGGCAGGACCCAGACTGCACCTTGCTGGTCAGCTGGTGCTCCTGCACACCTGACCCCTCCCAAAGACCCCATCGCCTGCCTTTTGGGGGTTCATAAAACTCCACTGTCTGCTCACACACACGCCTGCAGCACAGCCCTGTCCCGGTGACTGACACCCGTCAGCTCTCACAGGCAGAGCTGGAGGAGGGCACCGGGGCAAGTTCGGTCCTCAAACACACCCAGCATCCTGGGGAGCTGCCCCATCCTGTACTCCAGGAGTGGCACAGCAAGCAGCACTCGGGTGCCTGGCCAGCCCTGCCCTCAGCCGCTGTCCTGCTGTGACACCACAGCTCTGCTTCCTTCGGGCTCGGAGCTCCCTGGGGCACGAGCCAAGCCTCGCCCGGGGGATGTCAGGCATTAGAGAGGGAATCTCGGGCCGACAGGCACAGACCTCTCACGTTACGGGCAGGCAGCTCCAGCACAGGTCGGTGCCGTGGCCATGGCAGGTTCCCCCCGGGTCCGGGACAGCCGGAGCAGCTCCGAGCACACACGATGCGAGAGCCGCGGCAGCCCCGAGCACACCCCGAGCAGCACACACACACGGGACACAGGGACACACTCAGGCAGCGGCTGCCAAGAGCTGCTGCAATGAGGATGTGCCCAGATTCCCACACTGGCTCACTTCCACCCGGACTGCAGAGCGTGCCTGGCTGGGAGAGGAAAGCAGGAGCCAAAGCGAGGGGGAAGGAAGGAGGGAATGTTTGCTGAACAGACTTGCTTGAGAGCAGGAAGTGTGTTACACACAATTACTGCCCAAGTACAAGCACTGCACTGGGGCCACGCAGGGTAGATAGGGGGTTACCTCACAGAGGAAAGAGAAAGGAGATGCCAAGGACTGCATCACCTGTAGTGACTCTGCAGTCACCTTCCAGCTGCCTGTAAAAACCCAAGCAACAAAAAAATGACAGCTGAATGAGACATAACAAATCCTCAAGGATCAAAGAGCAGTTTCTAAACATTCACACTTCTTGAGAAAAGCTGGAAAGAAAACCTGCCCTCCCTGTACCTGTTTGCTGTACCTGAGCTTCCTCCACATGCTACAGGCACCTGTACTTTAATCTACAGTTCTTGCATGCTGCAATGGCCTAAGACAGGTTTTGAAATAAAGCAGTTCAAATAATGATGCTGAAGTAATGACAATCTCCTCTTAAACATTTCAAAATCCTTTCTAAGCAGCATTTTATTCCCTCTGAGCATTGTGTTTCACCTTACATGGAGAGGGAGGTGCTGATCTCTTCTCCCTGATATCCAGTGATGGGGTGAATGGGAATGGTTCAAAACTGGTTCCTCAGGAGAAGATCAGACTGGACCTGAGAAAGCATTTCTTTCAACTTGAGAGGGCTGTGAGACCCTGGGACAGGCTTCCTAGAAAGGTGGTCAATGCCCCAAGCCTGTCAGTGTTTGAAAGACATTTGGACCATGCCCTTAATAACAAGGATTAACTTTTGGTCAGCCATGAAGCAGTCAGGCAGCTGAACTAGATGTGATCACTGTCGGTCCCTTCCAAATGGAATACTCTAGTCTCTTCCCAGAAGCTTTGGAAACAATTCCTCCGTATGAGGGTGGGGACAAGAACAGGCTCTGACCACTGGGGCTCCCCAGAGAGCTGGTCCCAGACCAGAGATACCCAATCACCCTGAGCACAGGCAGGTCTGGGGAGAGCAGGCAAGGCCAGGGGCACCCAGCAAAGGGGCTCCCAAGGGGCTCCAGAGGGCAAGGGGACATCACAGCCTCTCCCACCCGCCAGACACAAGGCACTTGTGCAACACGTGAGCAACACGTGAAATTCCCTAAACACAAAGCAATAGCAAGACTGGAATTTCTCCACTCCCTCGCACTCCACAAATGAAGCCGGTGTCTGTTCTCCTCCCCCACAGGTCTCTCGTAAAGGTCACTCCTGCCAGACACAGCCTCGCTGCCTGGCTTTCACACTCCCCTCTGTTATCTCCCTGAACAAGGATGGGACCAAGGGGAGCTCTGAGAATCCAGAAGTCCTGAGAGTTTGCTCAAAATGACTCAGGAAAGAGAGGTTATCAGTCCTCATACATTGTCAGAATAGGTAGCTAATTAGGTTGCATTATAATTAGCCTGAGCTGTAGACTTCCTGGTCCCTCTGCCAAAAAAATACCCACCCTGAGAGCTGCCTGCACCCAGCACCCCAGCAGACATCTGCACCCCATCTCTGGCAGAATGGGGCTGAAATGGGGGGATGCTAACAAGAAGAGGCTTGGACAAGAGCAGGGGAAAAGTGAGCCCAACCATGGCAGCAGGAGCAAGGAGCATCATTTCTGCTTTGGAAAAATGCCCCTGGCACAGCCAGCAGCACACAGCACCCAGATGGAGCACTGGAATTTGGGAAGTCCCATGTTCAGACAAGGCCTTTGCTTCCACCCTGTCACAGGGCAGTCACAGCTACCATCCATACCATGGGATGTCCTGACAGGCACCAGAGCAGCCGCTTTCACCAGGACCTCCTTCCAGCTGGAGCACCATTACCCAGTCCCCACCATGCACAGGACCCACAGGCTCAAGTTTAGTCTGAACTACAGATTTACAAGTTCCACTAAACTGGCAAGAAACATTTTTTCGGATGGGAAGTCTCCCAGTGGAAACCTGGCGTCCTGTGGCAGTGAGAAGATACTAAAGGAGAAAAATAAGCCTTTGAGACAGGGATGTAAGAAAGACCCTGGGTTGTGGTGGCCAGGGCCAATAAGCCATACAGAGAATAAAAGCCTTAATCACATTAACTCAAGCTCTGATTGACAGGAATTAGGGGGAACATTTCCTCTCCTCATGGAGCATGTGGCGTCAGCCAACACTTGAAAAAGGTCAGTGGCAGCAGATGGAGCAAAGACCAGATCCTCTGCCACTGCAAACCTCAGGTGCCTGTAACAGAGTGAAAACCAGGACAGATTTTTCTGTCTGCCTGTCCGGGAAGCACAAGAGGGGACCACACAGCCCACCTTCTTCCCCTTTTGGTGGGAGCATCCAGCACTCAGCTACCATAGCCCTCATAGGGCACGCAATGCTTTCCAGCTACACTGACCAGCTGATTAGCATTCAACTGCAAAGCCGAGGTTTTTCCCGCTTACAAGGCTGGCGTTTAATGAGCTCATTGTTGAAAAATTCAGCTGCATTTCAGCTCTTCCACTTTTTATTTCCCCAAACCACCACTGTTCCTTTCCTTTTCCTTATTGAGGCAGCGCCTGCTCCAGCCTCTTGCCCACAGCTTCTGGGCACTGCAGCTGCCTGCATTGTTTGTCCTCCAGTCCTCGCAGCACCACGGCTCAGCCTCTGCAGAGTGGGATCCCCTTCAAGCACAGTCAAAAGGGACACAGGACAGAGTGGAGCAGCAGTCTCGCCGGGACCACCTCCCTTCCCGCACCAGCTGCCAACACAACGCTGCCTGTGCAACAAAGAACTCCAAACTCCAGTAAGCTCACAAAAGCCCATTGCCTGGTCTCCTGCGGCAACAGCCCCGGCTGGGCACAGCAACACCCCACAGTGCTGGGAGCTGGCAGCATTCGACCAGCCTCTTGGGCTCCTCACAACAATCCCGGCTGCCCAAGGCAGCTTTCAGATAGGAAAACAAGGACCTGACAAGTTACAAAGCCCACTGCAGTCACCTCCGTAAGCTTAAGTAAATCTCCGCACCTTGCTGTGGCAGCCACCATAGTCCTGCCCCCTCATGCCCAGCAGCAGCTCACCCCCAGTCTGGCACCCTGTCTGACCCCTCTCTTGGGGCTGGGAGGACACTGGCCCCCAGGAGCTCGGAGGTTTGGGGTGCTGGAGGGAAACCCGAGCACAATCAAAGGTACCCAGGCACAGCCCAACTGCAGGAGCCAGGACAGGTCTGGAGGAGAGATAAGGTGCAAGAGCATGGCCCCAGGGAGGGCCAAGCGTTCCTGCTTAGAGAAGCAGCTCTCCCTGTTGCTACCAGCAGCTTGACTTTAACACAAACCTTCCTGCCAGGAGAAGAATCCCAGCCTAGCCCTCAGGAAGGGGGAAGCAAGAGGAAGCTGAAGCTTTGTTTGGGTGCACGGGAAGGAGCACCAAGACTGGTAGACAGGACTGTGTGAAGAACGAGGACACCGCGAGGCAGAGCCAGCAGAGCTGCTAGGGGTGTTCAGGGTCGCAGTTAAGTGTCCAGTGCCTCTGCCGGGCCCCGGGACACAGACCCACCCCGTGCCCCCGGGTGTGAGGCAGCAGCCCCTACGCTGTCGCAGCCCCCCGTCCCACCCAGAGCGTCCCCCGAAGCCGCAGCTCACGGGTGCCACCACAAACAGCCGCCGTCCCAAGCCCAGGTAGAGCAGAAGCTGTGAACTAAACACAGGGCTGAGCCCCAGGCGAACCCTACGACCCCCCCGCAAAGCACAGGGACAATCTGGGGATCAGATGGCGCTGGGAACCCGCCGCGGCTTCCTCCAGCCCGACCGCAAAACCGCGGAGAAGGGCGAGCCCGCGGCCGGGAGCGAGCAGCCCCTCTCCAGATGTGCCCCCGGGGCCGGCGCCGGGAGGGGCCGCGGGCGAAGGCAGAGCCCCGGGACCCCCGCCCCACTCACAGCCGGAACATGCGCTCCATGTCCTTGATCTGCCGGCGGCTGAACTCCTTGAACTCGGTGTAGGGGTTGAACACGGCGGCCCGGCGGGGCTGCGCCGCGCCCTCGTTGATGTCGTGCCGGCGGCACAGCTTGGCGCTGAGCTCGGCGCCCGCGCTGGCCGTCAGGGAGCTCCGCTCCGCCGCCTCCTCCTCCTCCGCCGCGCCCTTGGCCACCTCCGCCTCGCCCTCCTCCGCCGCCCCGCTCGCCTCCAGCTGCAGCCGCCGCTGCAGCTTCTGCGCCAGCTCCTCCGAGGCCATGGCCCCGCGCCGCGGCCGCGCTGCAGCCCCGCTCCGCTCCGGCCGGGCCCGCCCGGCCCGGCCCGCAACTTTATTCCCTCACTTGGAGGGAGCGGGGCGGGACGGGGCGGGACGGGGCGGAGGGAGGCCGGGACGGGGCGGGCGTTTAAGGAGGCGCGGTGGGGGCCGTGCGGCGGTTTTAGTGCTGCTCTCGGGAGTGTCCCGCACATGACCGACCTCTCACGTGTGCCCCTCCCACACAGCAGTCACCTCCGCTCCGGTGACCCGCACAGGCTGTGTCCCCACATCCTCATGCGGGGAACCCCCCGCCACATGGCCGCCCTCCCCCCCACCCTCAAAGGACAGGGTTCTCCCCAGGGCCCCCTGCACCCCACAACAGGGCGCTGCGCTGGCCCCGGGGTGCACAGGCGGCGTTCACCCCACAACACTGCCTGCACCGCTCCGTCCCGGGGGGCGAGACCAACCCCCGGCCCGGCCGGGAGCCCCCGCGGCCGGCGGGAGCAGCGGGACCCCGCGAGCTCCCCGGGCGCCACTGCAGGGACGGCGGAGGCCCCGCTTAAGAGACCCCTTAAGCCCCGCCATGCGCCTCCTCTTATCTCCTTGGTCTAAAATTAACCCAGGGCAAAGCTCAGCTCAGCCCTGCGCTCCCCCTCCTTCTCCAGAGAGCACGGAAAGGGCAGGCGGTCCCTTCCCAGCACGCCGCTGGTCCTCCCGGGCAGTGCCCAGGGCCATCCCTGCTGTCCCCCGACTCTCCCGGGGTGTTCCTCCCGGGGCTGTGTGCCCCTCGCCCGGCTGATGGGAGCCTGATGGCGTTCCCTGAGATGGGATTAGGGCTGGCGTGGGGCGATTTAGGGTGGCTGCTGATGGGATTTACCCACCGGGGAGGAGGGGGGAGGGAAAAGAACCCGCTCTGCGATGCCGCCTCCTTATGGCCCCCGCTTGCCCAAGCCTGTGTGCCGCTGGGAACCGGTCCCAGGGGCTGTTCTGTGGCTGTTTCACACCTCCAGGTGGGTAGTAACCAGCTCTCTAATGCTCTCTGATGTGGTGACCTGCAGTTGACCTTCTTGGGCAAGCTCATTCTCACCAAACCTCCTCAGAAAATGACTGTTGAGGCCATTTGCAGCCACCCTGACCCTACCTGCAGCCTGGCCAGCTCTAGGTTGGCCCAGCAAGGGTCGGGAGTGTCAGGATGGTAGGAGGGTCACCAAAGCATGAGGCACAGCAAGGCCACTGCAGGTGTATCACACCAGGACTACCTGAAAACACGGCTGCTGAGTGGAAGGGGTAATATGTGCTGTGCCCAAACCGCTTTGCCCTAACACGGTGCCACGCTCTTTCCACCAGAGGGGTATGGGGAGGAGAGAGCTGGGAGCCACGCCGAAGAACAACGAGCCCAGAGGCACTTCTGTGCCTGAAGGGTGTCCAGAGAAATGAGCAGATGAGGGTGAAACGAGCAATAGCAAAACCAGGCTGCCATCTGGTGGAAATAAAGTTCTGGGGCATGGCCACCGATGGGAGAGCGCCTCAAGGGAGGGGTAGGCGAGGCAAGGGAAAGGTAGGTAAAGCAAAGAAAGGCAAGGCAAGGGTTTACATTGCCTTGCCTTCCCTTGTCTACCCTTCCCCTTCCTTCGTCTTGGTCTGCTTACCTATCCTAGTCCCACATCACTATCCCAGTCCTACAGTGATTCCAGCTCCTGTCCTACAGTCCCTATCCCAGCCCTATCCCAGCCCATCAGTGATTCCAGCTCCTGTCCTACAGTCCCTATCCCAGCCCTATCCCAGCCCCTCAGTGATTCCAGCTCCATTCCTCCAGTCCTTATCCCAGCCCCTACCCCAGTCCTTTTCCCAGCCCCTCAGTGATCTCAGCTCCATCCCCACAGTCCCTATCGGAGTCCCGATCGCAGCTCCATCCCCACAGTCCCTATCGGAGTCCCGATCGCAGCTCCAACCCCACAGTCCCTATCCCATCCCTTCATTCCACCGCCCGCTCCGCCGCCTCGGCTCCGGCCCTGCACCTTCCCCCTCACCCCGCCGCCAGGGGGCGCTGCTCCGGGTTCCCAGGGCTGCACGCGCAGCCCCGCCGGCTCCAGACCCGTCCAATCGGGGCCCGCCTTTCCCCACCCCGTCCAATCGGAGCCCGCCTTTCCCCGCCCCGTCCAATCGGGGCCCGCCCCCAGCCCGGCCGCGCGCCCGCCCCGCCGTGTCCCCTCAGCAGGCCCCGCCCCCGCTCCCCTCAGGCGCCGCTCGCGCCGCTCCCGCCGCTCCGGGACCCGGCGGAGCCGCGGCCGCAGCCCCGGCAGGTGCTGGTGGGTCCAGGGGAGGACAGGGGGAAGCTTCTGGTCACGGCCGGGCCGGGATTTCTCCCGGGAGAAAGGGAGGAAGGCGGGGAGCAGGCGGGATCGCGGGGGCAGCGGCCGCTGGCCCGGGGTGGTGGAGGTTGTGACCCCCGAGTGAGAGGGGCAGAGGCGGCCCTGCCAGGCTGTGGAGTTTCAAGTAATATTAAAAATAAAGGCTATAAAACTGGTTTATTATCTTATCATTTTTATTCTTTTATTTTTTGCTAATACTATTTTATTGTTTATTCTCTTACTACGTTATTATGGTGTTCTTTATTCATTATTTTATTTTGTTAACGTTGTGCTATTGCCTTGTATTTTTATTTTATTCTATTATTTTTTATTCTATTACTAGATATATGAAGTTTTTTAAATAAAGGTTGGGTGTGAAACACTGGCTGTGGGACCAGAGGGGACATTAAAGCCCCTGGGGCTGGATCCACACCCAAACTGATGTGGAGCAAGGGAAGTGCTGTGGCTGGAGCTGGATGAATCCCGTGGGGAAGGGGATGGAGCTGCAGCCCAGGGGCTACAGGAGCTGCCAGGAGGGTCTCAGTCCCCCACGCAGTGGTACCAGGCACGGGCTGGGAGTGCAGGTCTCAGAACCAGCCCAAGGGCACCTTTTGGAATGGGGAACCAGGGGCTGCTCCCAGCCGCTGCTGCCGGCTGGGGAGGGGCTGTGGGCAGGTGGGGGGCGTGGGACCCATGGGGAGGGGGAAGGTGTGTGTTGGGGGTCAGGCCTCATGTGCCACCAAATTTGGGACCCCATTGGAACGGTTATGATAGCTGCTAGAGATATTTAAGTGATGACAGTGACTGATTTGTGGCCTTATCAACAGCCTTGGGCTGCACTGAGACCCAGGAGCAGCTTTTAGCTGGAGCCAGTGGGAAGCTGAGGAGCTGGAGCTGAGGCAGCAGAGCTGGAGGACACACAAAGGTGGGACTGGCATTAAAACCAGTGTGGGGCTGGGGGTGGGATAAGGACTATAGAACTGGAGTTGCAATATGGATTCTAGAAAAGATCCAGAAGCAGATTCACCTGGCAGCAGAGGGAAGATGCAGAGCTGAAGCTGAGACAGCACAGCTAGTGAGATATGAAGATTATGGGGCTGGAGATGAAATCACTGTGGGATGGATAGGGCTTCAGGGGCAGGGATACGGAGTATAGCTGGAATCACTGTGGGGAAGGGATACCAACCATAGAAATGGAGCTGAAATAACTGTACACCTCGAGACAAAATGAAGATCCTACTGTGAGAACCAGGAAAAGTTTCACCTGGCAGTGGTGGGAAGATATAAAGCTGGAGGTCAGAGAGCAGAGCTGGGAGGGAAATAAAGCCTCTGGAGCTGGAGCTAAAATCACTGGAAAGATGAGATGATGACTCCAGGGCTAAAGCAAAACGAGAAATTTGGGTTGTATTAGAGAGTACTATATTGTTGCAGGTCCAAGCCTCTTGTAGGTGGGCAAGAGCGGCGCTGTGGGGCTGTGGGGTGCCTACGGCCATACCACCCTGAGAACGCCCGATCTCGTCTGATCTCGGAAGCTAAGCAGGGTCGGGCCCGGTTAGTACTTGGATGGGAGACCGCCTGGGAATACCGGGTGCTGTAGGCTTTTGCCCCGGGCAGCGTGCCTTGTTTTGCCGTCGGGGCATTTGGGGCGGGCTGAGGGGCGCCGGGTGTGTTTTGGCGTGGCTGGTGGGGCGGGCAGGGGGGCGGGCAGGGGGGCAAGTGTGCGAGTGGCAGAGGGGGTGTCAGGCAGGTGCCTTGTCCATCTTTGCCCGTGGTGCGGTGTTTTGTGGGAGGGCGAGTGGGTGCTGTGGGTGGGCAAGAGCGGCGCTGTGGGGCTGTGGGGTGCCTATGGCCATACCACCCTGAGAACGCCCGATCTCGTCTGATCTCGGAAGCTAAGCAGGGTCGGGCCCGGTTAGTACTTGGATGGGAGACCGCCTGGGAATACCGGGTGCTGTAGGCTTTTGCCCCGTGCTGGCGGGCAGCGTGCCTTGTTTTGCCGTCGGGGCAGTTGGGGCGGGCTGAGGGGCGCCGGGTGTGTTTTGGCGTGGCTGGTGGGGTGGGCAGGGGGGCAAGTGTGCGAGTGGCAGAGGGGGTGTCAGGCAGGTGCCTTGTCCATTGTTGCCAGGCAGGTGCCTTGTCCATCGTTGCCCGTGGTGTGGTGTTTTGTGGGAGGGCGAGTGGGTGCTGTGGGTGGGCAAGAGCGGCGCTGTGGGGCGGTGGGGTGCCTACGGCCATACCACCCTGAGAACGCCCGATCTCGTCTGATCTCGGAAGCTAAGCAGGGTCGGGCCCGGTTAGTACTTGGATGGGAGACCGCCTGGGAATACCGGGTGCTGTAGGCTTTTGCCGCGGGCAGCGTGCCTTGTTTTGCCGTCGGGGCATTTGGGGCGGGCTGAGGGGCGCCGGGTGTGTTTTGGCGTGGCTGGTGGGGCGGGCAGGGGGGCAAGTGTGCGAGTGGCAGAGGGGGTGTCAGGCAGGTGCCTTGTCCATCTTTGCCCGTGGTGCGGTGTTTTGTGGGAGGGCGAGTGGGTGCTGTGGGTGGGCAAGAGCGGCGCTGTGGGGCTGTGGGGTGCCTACGGCCATACCACCCTGAGAACGCCCGATCTCGTCTGATCTCGGAAGCTAAGCAGGGTCGGGCCCGGTTAGTACTTGGATGGGAGACCGCCTGGGAATACCGGGTGCTGTAGGCTTTTGCCCCGGGCTGGCGGGCAGCGTGCCTTGTTTTGCCGTCGGGGCATTTGGGGCGGG